AATGGCTATATGCTGCTGTGTGCCGGAGACAATGCAGTCAGTGCGCCTGCAGCCTTCGCTGTAGCAGATCTCCGCGATGAACGTGTCGGTTCACAGTCACCTGAGTGTTGGTGAGGCCTCAGAGAGTGACCACGCCACCCGAGGACAGAACGGCCACCAGAGCAGCTGGTAATGAGAAAGGCAGTTTGGCATGCTTTGTCGGACTAACGGGGGAGATTCATTCACACACGCAGAAGAAACTGTATGAACAGAATCCATTCTTGTTTTGGATTCTTTAAGAGTGAGAGCATATGTGTTGATCTGTGTGTCAGTGTACGTGTTAATGAGAGCCTGAATGAGGCGTGTGAACACTCGCTGCTGCGATGTACTTCTGGCTACTACTTGCTGAGTGACTGACACTCTCAGCCTCTAGTATCCGATGACAGATCGACATGGCGGGGAACAGCGCGGAGCAAACGTGCTTTGGCACACAGACATACATGCACACAAACACACAACGAACCCACACAAAGTTCAAGTAGTTTGAACCCCAGCTGAAATCTCAGAGCCCTGCCCTGTCACAGGCCGTCACTGATAAAGAACGCTGGCAGGGAGGGCAGGCAGGAAGAAAGAAAGGAGGAGAGCAAAGGCAAAGGAACAGGAGAGGAAGAGGGGGAAATGTACGTGTGTGTGTGTACAGCAGAACGGAGACAAAACAGGAGGGAAGGGTCTGGAGAAGAACCAACTCAAGAGTCTGATGGCTGTGCACATTAGACACATAAGAAACTAATGACTACTTTATATATAAAGTTTGGTGTAAAAAATGAAGATGTAAAAAAAAAAGATGAATATAAGTTCCAAGAACCCAAGAGTAGTTTCTCCACAGTGAATTAAATTGATTCAGCTGAAGGCAGAGAATAGTCTTTTTGCTTGACAGCATTGATTGTTGATTCATTGTAATTTTCTCGTGATTTCAGCGACAACAAACAAGAGATCATACACAGCACAAAAGTAGTTTTATATAAATGCTTTATATTTCATACGAGTAGAAAACGACAGCTCTCTTTCTAATTTGATTGAATCACTTTGCCCAAACCATTTCAAACTAGAATTCTTATTATTCTGACAACTTTACTATTTGCTTTATATACTAATTTCCGCTCTTCCTAACACTCAGCAGACATGCATAGTCTCATCTAGCTGTCTATATGGCATTAAGCCATCCTCCTGCAAGTCTTCTAATAGACAGACAGCAACTCCAGCTGGCCTGCGTATTGTCAACAGCAGCCTTCGTCCCGGATACTGAGCCCATTATTGCATTATCATCACAAAACACACACACTCACAAACGGATATACACTTTACACAAAGGCTGTGTGTGGGCTTTAATATTGTATAAGCCTGTAGTTAAAAAAAAAAAAAAAAAAACCATGATTCACCTGGGCTATTACAAGAGGCTCTCGAGTTGTAACGCCTGCAATATCATCCTCCGCTATTCTATTCCTGGGTGAGAGGGTTACGCAGGCTGAAAGTGTGAGTCTACCACTAATTATAGCTAATACCATACCATGCTGCAAAGTATCCATTGCAGCATGTTGGGATATATAGTATTGCTGGAAAGGACACTGGTCGGTTCCTATGGTTACTGACTTTTCTTTACAAATAATGCTATGAGAGCAGACAAGCCACACTGACAATTTGAATTGTCTTTATTATGTAACAACTGAGCGATGATTACATTTACACTAAACTAATCTGCAACTATTTTGATATACGATAAATCGTTTAAGTCATTATTCAAGCAAAAATGCCAAAAACTTGCTGGCTTCAGCTCCTAAAATGTGAAGAATTAGTGTTATATTGTCATATGTGATAAATATGATCAATTATCTTTAGATTTTGAATAGTTGGTCATTTAAGAAAATCACCTCTGGAAAATAGCAATGCTAATGTTTCAGAATGTATTAAAAAATATTAACTGATTAATAAAGTCCTTTTTTTTGTGTTATCATTTATTGATTTTAAAAGAATAGATTAATCATATGACGTTATACCAGGAAGAAACATTGAAAACATTTTACAGTAAGTGATGTTTTGATAATGACTCACTGTTCAATGAGTTTAATTTTTGTGCATTTATCATTTATACTGGTTTATGATTGATAGAACACAAGATTATGTATGTGTTTTTATCCCACTACGCAATGACTATATGCACATTGTATTCACGATCACTTGCAACCAATGACGTCAATGTCCATGTCCTGTAATTCCACACTGGTGTGATGATGCTAAACTAACAGCAGGGGCTCTGTGAATAAACCTTGATGTGCATAGTGGCAGTAATATTACCACCGACAGGCTGGGTTTGCCATTCCCAGCGGTTTGATACTCCCAGGCAGAAAACCTCAATATTTTAATTTAATCCCCAGAGCAGTCATTTAGCCACTCCGTAATCCCCAGGTCCAGCGCTTAGTCTGATAATTACCCTTATTGGACACCCATAATGATTAGTTTTTGGTTTCACCCAAAGCAGTGTAGGCAGTTTCATAGGGCGGTTGCGGCGTTCCGCGGAGTGGAAAACCAATCATGCACGGTATAGCCCAGGTCATAAAAGAGGAGGGAGGGGTATCATTATTATTACTTTGCATGGAAGGCGACAACTCTCGGACAGGACATGGTGCAAAATGTGTCTTTGTGTAACGTCCAGAATAGTGTAAGGATCACATAACAGGTGGTGGTGGTGGCACTCTTACTGTGTCAGCATTAATAACTACAATGGCACTGAGGAATCATATTCATATCATGGGAATAATGGCCTCTAAGAGCAGATGCAACCAAACCTAACTTGGCGGGCATGATTTCCCAAGCCTTTAAATACATGCATCAAGAAGTGATCAGGGAACATTTTGACATCTCACTCGTCACTTTGCTGGTACTCTCATTTATTTTCCTCCTGACATTTCTCCCAACATTTCCAAACTGACAGGATAACCTTCAGACTTTTCTTCCACATGCGGTGTGACAGTCCTCTCCAAAATACCAAAGGAAATCTTCAGGCTGCAATGCAAGTGCCTGTGGAGGAAAGTGGGTTCCCAGTAGCTCAAGCTGGTATATTCTACAGCTGGCTGTGAGGGTGAAGCCTTACTGGAAAGTCATCAGTTTTTTTTGTCTCCTTCATGTCTGAAACAGGTCAAGGCAGGTCCCCTTCCATCGCCTTCCCTCCCTGTGCTGCTCTTTACGAGCCCCACCTGGCAGATTAGTATTCCACCACTACAACTACCATTTTCTGCTGTTGACATATGCACACACACAGACACTCCTCTATTGCTGTTCTGTTGAGGTAGCACAGGGCACATACTGTTCAGACTTAGGACTCTGCCACCTTGGTTTCATGCATGCATGGGTAGCCTATGCATGTGCAGCACAACACATTCCATCTCAGGTGAAGGAAAACAAACACGCTCAAACTGAACCAACATGTCTTGCAACTTCAGGTTATTTCTGTTATGGAATGATGTGTTCACATCTATCAATGTAGTCTACAAATTGCCCAAACAAAGCAAAACTGGCTCAACAGGCTGTGTGGGACATTTGCTTGTTTTGTCCAATTATCTGTCTAAAACATTTACAAGACGGTCCTGAAGGTAGAAAACAAGCAGCAAATTATAACATTGGAGAAGCTTGAACCAGAGAATATGTGTTATTGTTTCTTGTTAAATTACTGTTAATTCTTGTCTTTCAATTACTAATTTTCATTACAAAAGTTAAGCTTGAAGGGTTAAACAGGTATTTTGCAGTTACACTGAGGTCACCCACTATCCAAAAGCGGACCCCTGCAAACAAAGCATGTGCACAACTCATGTATCATAACCGTTTTCCAGCTGCTGTCAATATGGCTAATTAGGAGCAAACTAATTAATCAAATAAAAGACCTAAATACAAGTGGTGTTCAAATGTCCTTCAATGTAAAACCATTTAACTTTCAGTGGGTTGTGTCCTTCACTAGTCTATTCCTGGGGAGTTTAATATCCTTATGGTGCTTTTGTGCTCAGATTTTATAATCCAAAAATACATTTAGGCCAGGGAGTGTACTGTATGTCACCTTACAACAACAGCAGTAGCTAATGTAATGAGTCATAGATCTACCCAGTAGGCCTTTCTCCTTTTAATAAACACACTCTTCATTATCGAGTCTAAAGTGTAATAAATACATGTCTGTAAATGTGTTACACTGTTTTCATGCCTGTAAATGTGTTGCCTGTAAATGTGTTACACTGTTTTCATGCCGCTTCCCCATGTAACCAGAAGGAAATAAGGCCCAAACAGTGGCCATGGCAGTCAGGTACAAAGTCTAGATATGCAAGTTTATTTTGCTGATATTGGATGTCAACAAAAGAAACTGAAACATGTTGACTTCATTCATAAAAATACCCTAAAATCCCTAACGATTTTAGGGAACAGGGGAGGGACTACAGAATAATTTAGTTACATTTTGAAAAAAAATTGCCTCACCAAACACAATATGCTACAACAATGTCAAAAGCATGTACGAGTACCCAACACTTAGATTTTTTTACGTTTTAATTTAAGCGACGAGCTGAACTTTAGCTTTTTGGTCAGTAATTTTGCCTATATGGAAAGGCTTGGCGTTATTAAGTGCGTAGACAAGCGAGTCTCAAAACATGAAACAACTATGCCGCCAAACAGGCTACGTGAGGCATTGTAAAACCTACAACGTGTTAACAAAATAAGACGTAAATGGTGTGTTCACCGCTACATTCTAACCACCGGAGGTTTTCGCCGCAGTCCTGGATGCTTTCTTTTGGCTACAAAACGAGCAGAGGAGGAGGAGAAGGACAAGGAGGAGGAGGGTAGAAAAACTTGCCGCAGTTCAGACTTCTGCAGTCCCGACTCACTGGATCCAACTCAGGAAGCCCCGGTCTGAACCCCCCAAAAACATGTTCCCATGTTCTCTATCAACCCAAAACACACACACAAATAAAGACTACAAACTTTACCTTAGCTTGTCCACCGCCGGGTCAGAAAAACGCACCGGTAAATCCACAACTTCACACGGTTTGAGCTCATGCGGACGGTATGACTCGCTGCTGCGGACACGGCTGGGGCAAGTTCATCCACATTTTCTCTGATACAACCGGAGAGTTGGAGGCGACAGGGAGACTGCGTTTCTGCTTTCCCCCTTTCCCTGAATTACTCTCGTCGGTCCTTTCCTCTCGGATATTCCCCTCCCTGGCCCGTTTGAGATCAAACCATCACATTCCACCGCGTCCTTAACAATGAAAAAAGGTGGGTTTTCCTTAACTGCTGCCGGAGGACCCACCCCTCGGGATGACTCTGCCCGGTCTGACCGCAAAGAGAACGCCCTTCCAGGCTGCGAGGTCCCGCCTCTCTCCCCATGAATCCAAGCTGATGTTGTGTGGATAGTTCGGGTATTTTAACATACTCTGTGTTCATTTCACTTTCTCTCTCTACACACATTACATATTTTAAATTGACTGAACAGAATGATATCAGCATGTAAACAGTGGTGTTATGTAAGTAATTTAATCACTCAAGTAATGCAATAAATTAAGTAGGCTACCATTTTGAAGTAGGCTACTTGTAATTGTAATTATGTTACTTTGTAGACTACTCCACTACAATTCAGAGGTAAATATTATACTTTTACTAGACTACATTTATGTAGTACCAAAGTACTATACTTGTCAGCTATAGAGTAATGATAAACAATATGATCAACACCTAAATAAGACTTTAGTTACACTTAGATTACATTCACATGCTACCCAGCAGTACGTTAAGTTATTAAAACCAGTTCCACCTTTACCAGCTTGAACACATCAATAATTATAATCACAACATATCATTTATATGATTGTGAAATGAGTCATCTGCATAATGAATACTTGTACTTTTTGTACTTTAAGTATATTAAAATGATGTTACTTTGTAGACTACTCCACTACAATTCAGAGGTAAATATTATACTTTTACTAGACTACATTTATGTAGTACCAAAGTACTATAATTGTCAGCTATAGAGTAATGATAAACAATATGATCAACACCTACATAAGACTTTAGTTACACTTAGATTAAATTCACATGCTACCCAGCAGTACGTTAAGTTATTAAAACCAGTTCCACCTTTACCAGCTTGAACACATCAATAATTATAATCACAACATATCATTTATATGATTGTGAAATGAGTCATCTGCATAATGAATACTTGTACTTTTTGTACTTTAAGTATATTAAAATGCTAATACTTTTGTACTTTTATTTGAGTAACATTTTGAATACAGGACTTTAAGTTGTAACATAGTATTCCTAGACTTTGTTTTTTTTATTTGTACTTAAGTACAAGATCTGAGTACCTCTTCTACCTCTGCTTCCAAACCATGATCCTCGACAGCATTATTATAGGACTATTTTTGCAATACCGGTGGGCATATAAACTATCATTAAGTAAACACATTTACTTTTAGCTTCCCATTGTATACCACAGTTAAGGTCCCTATTGCAATATTAAGAAGTAGTGATACCGGAATTGAGCCCCAAAAGTCTCATAAAGTCGCTATAAACTCAATGAATAACACCTGTAGCACTTTTACAAGAGTATTTAAGTAAACAAAGGGGTGAAAAACACTTATAAGATGACTAAAATGTATTTTCCAGTAGCATTGACATATTATAAATTCCCATTGTATAGTTTAAAGATTTTTTGTTGGTTTTTGTGTGCACTGTAATGGTCATCAATAATTGAAGAACTGCAGGCTGACCACCAAAATAAATGCTGACAATTCTGCATACGCTTATAAAGGTGCAAATGCCACAATTAAAGTTATGCTACTTTTATGTTGGTGAGGAATGCAAGTGGCATTGCTGTGATTATCGTTCTGTGTGGAATTGGCAAGAGTTCTCAAGGTTTGTTGTGAAGCAGCTTAAAAATTGTTTGCAACTGAGATAATGGGCCCATGTAAAACAACAATGCATCACAAAGAACTAAGTAAATCTGACTTGATATGGACCAAACATTATCCTTAAGATAATAAGGTCTCTGTTGCACAAAGTTGTTCTACCTAATTAATGATGATGAGTTTGTTCAGCTGTACACCTAATGTATTTTTAAAAACACATTATATATTACTTTTACGAGACATATTACCATGTTCTTCTGTTTCAGAATCAGAATGCCAGAATACCTTTACTCGTCCCACAGAGGGCAAATTTAAGTCATAACCTATGGTTATTTCCCACACTGGTTTTAACTGGTGCCACTGATAGTGTTAAATCCAAAGGCACTGTAGTCATAAAGCGTGATAACTGTAACAGAAGTCTATTGTTTGATCTATGCATTGCAAAGTGATTATGGTGCGGCTGTAAACTTTTTATTGTCTTTCAGTTGCGTAACTATGGAAATAACTTGATTAAGATCATAAATGCCACCTAACTGCCCACGCAGACTCTCTCTCTCTCTCTCTCTCTCTCTCTCTCTCTCTCTCTCTCTCTCTCTCTCTCTCTCTCTCTCTCTCTCTCTCTCTCTCTCTCTCTCTCGCGTAACACTGTTTTTTTAAGCGGCAGATGAGGACATAAACACTATTATTGCTATTCAAAAGTAACATGAGTAGGAGGTTGGTTCTCACTGTGTAAAGTAAGTTATCAGTGAACAGGACCGTGTCTTGTGTGACTTAAACCGTCATGTAATTAAAACAGGTCTTTGTGGAGATTCCCACAGTCAAGCCTTTGTTTTCCCCCTCATTAATCGCCCCTCCCTCGTAAAAGGCCATATCACTCTCATCTTATTTCACATAATAAGCTGGAAGAGGTACAAATCATGTTACAGTGTTGCCATCACCAGGTGGGGAGAAGGCTAAAGATACCAAGTAATCAAAGAGAATTATTAAACCCATGCAGAAACAAACTAAAGGCATAACCAGGCATGCCCAGACACCTGAACGCCACAGCAGGAAAGCCAAGCACAGGTGTATGTTCATTTGTGTGCATACATATTTCTGTCTGTATATGTCTTATAATAATGTGATTTAAAAGCAGCTTGAGAGAGAAACATGTTTTTGGTAACTTTAGAAAAGATTGTCTTATTTATCAGTTTCCAGGGCTAAGGTCTGCTGTAAACATCAAACAACTATTGATCTATGAAGTAGCAAACCACAAAAAATCCATTAGGTTTAGAAAAAGTGGGATGACAGTAAGTAAAGACAGGCATGGAAAATAACAATTTTTTACGAGGACATCTATCAGCTATGTTTCATCTTTCCTGAGAAGGTTGGCTCGTGCACAGACAAGTTTCTGTCATTCTAGGAATTTGCCTTAATACATCAAATATTATAAATGCAAATGCATAATACAGATTGTAATCTATTGCATGAGGAAAGTGGTGCGAGGAATGTCCTCTCCTGTAGCACATTCTGTGGTGCACACAGGATTCAGGAAGAGCAGTGTTCAAGCCAACATCCTTCCTAATCACTAACATCCTTCACCACCCAGCAACATTAAGTTGTTTATTCCAATAAACAGGCCTGGATGCACCAGCACAAATTATAATCAAATGAATATATGCATTGTCTTTCAAAAGGAAGCCCTGTTGTTTTGCGTTTTTATTTCACATCTGAGGTATTTTATCTTATCCAGAGTGGCTTGCAGTTGCAACAGCAGACTAATCTCTAATAATCCTGCGTATATCACCAACATTACAAGCAGTCAATAGTACAGAGTGCAAGGATCAGGTCAATAGTCACCTGACAATACTCTTTTGACTAGAATAATAAGCATGTAAGAAAAAAAATTAGATCACAGTAGAAGGATTTAATGCTTCAATATGACTAAAGCTTTCCCTACTTTGTGTCTGCTTTACAGCGGGGATAAGGATTAATGTGCTTAATTCACTGTCCTCTCAGAGTGGGTTATGGCAAGTATTCAAACAGATGTAACCCTGATGGATCAAAATGAGGGGCAGCTTGTCATGGAGGGAAACATGCGCTTATCTAATGTAATAAAGCACTGACAACATTCTGCAACATTGTGTTAACTAACATCAATAACTTGGTGTGCAGACGGTATGTTCGAAGTGACAGCCTCACTAAAATGCTGCTCACTAAATGTAAATCTAAATAGTTTGAATCTTGACAGTCTTTTTAACTTCAATCAGTACTGGTTACCAGTTCTTCCTGATCTTGATGTTTGATCCTTTTATGTCTTAATTTGGAAATACACAGAATTTCCAATAAAAGAGAGGGCTCCAAATCCTTTGATATGCATACAAAAATCTTGTTTTAATGTCAGGTTCTATATCATGTTAAAGTACAGATGCCTCAGTCTGTCTAGCTCACCCTCCCATGGCCCTCTGTTTCTCACTGCAGGGGGACATTCCTCAAACCTCAGCCTCTGGCATGCAATAAATCTGCCTGAGAGAGACCTACACTGACTGTACTGCCAAGAACCCTCCGCCAAACAAGACGTGCATCTGAACACTACCTATTTATCAGTTCTCAGCTTCTCTCTTTTCTACACAAGTGGCCTGAGTGTGCAGCCACGGCCTACCAATCTGTAAAACATCCCACAAGGGTGTTTCATGTCTGCCAGAGGCAAAGTGCCATGGAACAAGGTGAGGTGAAGGAGCAACTGTGAAAATGTGTTAATGGGACAAGAGGAGCTCCACACAGGCAGCTCTCTCCCTTCCTGCCTCCCGGAGGAATGCATGACTCTGACTTTTGACTATATTGCCTTTCCAGGGTGATAGCTAGCTATCCCATTAAAATAAGGAAAGAAATTATGAGGTCCTGGCAACTTTCCCTCTCTTTGTCTCTGCACCTGGAGTGAAAGTACAGCCACTCCTCAGGAGGAAGGATTCCTTGGAATGACCTGTGCAGCAGTGCAGAACATCAGGGATCACCTGCATGGATCTGTATCTGATTATTTTACATTTTTCTCTGGGCCATTTAGAGGCCATATAGAGGATTATAATTGAGAAAAATAATCAGTTGGCATGCAGGCCAAAGCCAGACGCAGGTGTTCAGCTTATGGAAGATCTGTGAAGCGTTTCAGTACTGCCAGTGCAACAACATGGTATGTCTATATTTGATTTCAAGAGTTATTTAACATATACACTCTAAAATAATGCAAGCCTGTCTAAAAAAAGTAGGCTTCCCATAAAAAAAGTTGCCTTCAAATGTGAGTTAATCAACAACTGTTAAGTCACACGAGCAAACATTAAAGTTACGTTTTCCCACCAGTTATATTTTCTCAGTTCTTTGTCATACTTCTCTGCTCCTGGGGAAGCCAATTATGTATCAGCAACTCTGTTAATG